GTCAGAATCTTCAGGTAGTTTTAAGCACTGCATAAATTTTCAAACAAGGGTGTGGGTGTGGGTGTGTAAAGCTACCATGATATGGATATTTTACCTAAGCAACGAGGATTGTCAAATGATACCCGTAAGGAATCAAAATTTCAGGGAATTTTGTCGAAATAAAGTTAATGCTGAACTGTTACCGAAGTAATGTAAGAAAGAAATTTTACAGTAGTGTGTAAAGCTACCATAATATCGATATTGCGCATAGGCAACTAGGATTTTCAAATGGCATCCGTAACGAATCAAAAATTCTCGAAAAAAGAGAATTTTTTGTCGAAATTGGGTATGGGTGTGGATGTATGGGTGTGATTGTGAGAAGCTGTCACAATGCTAAGCTTTAGTATTTCATTAATGCTAAATGAAAATGATCAAGTGGCAAATATTTGTAGAATTGATTGAAATATGATTTTAATAATTGAATCATTTTCGTCGTTCTCATTTCATGTTTTTCTTACATTTTCAGTTTCCGTTCGATCCCTGAGACAGATATAGAATTATCTATGATATAGTAAGCAAAAATTTGAAATGGCATAATTTTATTTTTTATCTCTTACTGTCTTTGTATTGACATAAACTAAAGTATTGCTCTTTTCTCTGAGCTAGATAATATAATGGAGGCCATGATAACGAGAGTTTCTACAAAAAGACAATAGAATACGAAACGTTTCTTTGTATTCGAGACAATTTACTTCTCTATATGAATGATAATTGTTCTCTAATTGTTTCGATGTATCATGTGGTTTGGTTTTTTTCAAGATGGTTTAACAGGCTTTGATATTCTCGTTGTTGTTTTCTTTGTTTCTAATTGTATCAAGATATCCATATCATGCAATTGTTTCGAATAATCGGACGAGAATATCAAAGCCTGTTAAACCATCTTGAAAAAAACCAAACCACATGATACATCGAAACAATTAGAGAACAATTATCATTCATATAGAGAAGTAAATTGTCTCGAATACAAAGAAACGTTTCGTATTCTATTGTCTTTTTGTAGAAACTCTCGTTATCATGGCCTCCATTATATTATCTAGCTCAGAGAAAAGAGCAATACTTTAGTTTATGTCAATACAAAGACAGTAAGAGATAAAAAATAAAATTATGCCATTTCAAATTTTTGCTTACTATATCATAGATAATTCTATATCTGTCTCAGGGATCGAACGGAAACTGAAAATGTAAGAAAAACATGAAATGAGAACGACGAAAATGATTCAATTATTAAAATCATATTTCAATCAATTCTACAAATATTTGCCACTTGATCATTTTCATTTAGCATTAATGAAATACTAAAGCTTAGCATTGTGACAGCTTCTCACAATCACACCCATACATCCACACCCATACCCAATTTCGACAAAAAATTCTCTTTTTTCGAGAATTTTTGATTCGTTACGGATGCCATTTGAAAATCCTAGTTGCCTATGCGCAATATCGATATTATGGTAGCTTTACACACTACTGTAAAATTTCTTTCTTACATTACTTCGGTAACAGTTCAGCATTAACTTTATTTCGACAAAATTCCCTGAAATTTTGATTCCTTACGGGTATCATTTGACAATCCTCGTTGCTTAGGTAAAATATCCATATCATGGTAGCTTTACACACCCACACCCACACCCTTGTTTGAAAATTTATGCAGTGCTTAAAACTACCTGAAGATTCTGAC